ATGGTTTGGATAAAATGAAATGCAATTCTGGTAACAAGATAAACGAATCGAAAGTTGGCAATTAAAAATTTCGTTTGACGTGTGTCTGGGTCTACAGAAATAGGTGCATTATCTATATGCATCTATCAATAATGTCTATAACTGTAAACAAGTCTACATTATTCAAGTAGAATGCAGCTGCACATATATGCAATACTGTGTTGAATAGGTCAAAAACACGTCTATGTCACAGTAAACTTGGTCTATTTTAAAACGGGGCGTCCAGACTTCACAGTTTATCTCTACCTATTCTTTAACGTTGACTGAACTTTATGATAAAAAAATTTGTCCTCGAACATTGCCTTGAACTTGGGTATGTCGAGTTATATTGCAATGCACTTTGCACTAGACAGCAATATGACTAATTCTATGGACTATTTAGGTATGTTCTGCTGTTGTAACTGGTGCAGACATGTTTAATAAATTCACAACTTGAAGAAAAAGATATAAAAATAACTACAGATACCTTAATATAGGATGAAATTCAAAATATAGCCGTCATTATGTTTTTGTGCTTCTCTATCAGACATGCGATTGCGCAGCTGTTAACCAATCAAAACTCTTGTTTCAATTTGAAATTTTTTCTATATTATGCAACAGATGGACTGTGAATGAATATTTGAACTTCAACATTTAAAAAAAGAGTGATCTGCAGATTTAACTTCCAAGACCTTAATCCAGACTTGCACTAAGTGTGTTCAAACGACGCTGCCAGAGCTGTTAATGAACTGGCTTAAACATGGAATAAAATTTACAAATGAATGGAAAGGTTGTCAGGAGTCAAATGTAGCATAGACATAGGGGTTGCAAATGAATTTATAGTCAGCCACTAAGTATATGCACATGTAGGCCTACCAAAAGGTAATTATATATGCGAATAATAGTCATATGTTTCACAATACATAAGTAATCATAATTCTAAGCCTTGGAATAACCAAATGGATTTCACATCCGACCTGATTTAATAATGGTTAAGGTTATTATACATGGGACATGTAGTGTGCAATGAGGGAAATTTTACAAGAAAAGCTCTAGAAATATTTAATGAAGCACTCTGCAAGACATCTGACTGGACTCTTTTTAAAAAAAACCAGATCCTTTGATCAGAAAAACTATAATTAGACATGATGTAATAAATGAAATGAAAATGGAATTTTACATCCTACACTTCTGCACCTAGTAGTGGCAATTAAAAACAGTAAGATATGATGTAATGAAATCAGCATACATTTCCGCATATCTCTGTCATGAATTGGCAATATCTTGCAAAATTTAGGCAATTTTTCTCAATTTATTTCATCGGAGGTAGTGTTTAGGTCCTCATTTCGATTGTTTCAAGCGATTTTTTAGAGGTTTTCTGGGTTTTGAGATATATTTTACTGCTAATTGCATCAGTAAGATTTTCAGTCCTGTGTCTGTAGCCTACCTGTAAAGCCAGAAAAACCTGCTCAGATCATAATGTGACATTCAAAAATCTAACCAAAAATATACAAAAAATATGGCATAATAGGTGTGTCAGAAACACATAAAAGACTAGAAAACCTTTTTTGATTTCCTTTGACGGAAATGTAGTGATATAGCACAAACAAGGAGAAATTACACTCTTCAATTCAGAAAACCACAAAAATGAAATGCAAATCTAAGCTATAGATATATGCGAAAGAAATATCCATGTTTTACTGTGTTGTATATACAATATAATTGCTTTCAAAGAGTAAATAGGTTACAAAATGTAAAAAAGTTCACACCCATGTTTTTTTATGACAATATATTCAAATAGAAATTATTTGTGCTCTAGTTTGCGCTAACGATGATAACAAAATTTTGCCAAAATATCAGAATAAGTCTAATTGATTTCCAACTGTGACAGAATCAAGTCATTTTATCTTTTCTTTTCTATTAAATGAGATGGCATTTTGTAAAAGGATATGCCAGTTTACTGAGGCATAGAAATACACAGAATATGTAGATCTGCATTGAATATATAACAATATAACAAGCTGTTCTTGAAATATATACATTTACATTTTATTTTAATGATTTTCAAAATTGAAATGAAATGAATGGAGTTTTACTTCCTACTTTTCTGCACCATGTGGTTCACAATTAAAGTGTGGAATTGAATAAGAGTGGAATTAAGTAAGTGTGAAATGACAATCAACTATTCACCAAAATACAGCTGAACCATTTCTTGCTGTTTATGCTCCATGTCCTAAATGCTGGAAACACCTTGCAGTGTACAATGAGAAATTTTGCCAGGTAATTAGTATTAGTGCACTTGATTTCCATCTGTGACAGAATCAAGTTGTTTATCATATTTCCTTTTCTATTCTAATGAGATGGCATTTTAAATGGATATTTCAGGTATATATAAATATAAGTCAAGAAGCTTTTGTTGAAATAAATGTATAGCTTAGATTTGCATTTCATTTTAATGGTTTTCAAAATTGAAGAGTATAATAAAATAGGTGTGAAAATGCTTTTACAATCACATTTTCATGTAAGTGAAAAATTTCTTTTGGGTTGTGCGACATGTGACAACTGTAAATTCTACGTGATTGCTATGTCATATTTTTAATAACATACTTGTACTTTAATATGTATTCTAAGTGTTATAGATTTATTATATAATGACATGAACATGTTGACAATTTTTCAAAGAACAATTTGACATAAGAGTTAGAATACTGAGTGCATATTTTAACGCGGATAAAAATCTGAGAGACGTTTTAATAAAATGTATTGTGTTGAATTATTGCCAAATGACAAGTTAACCTGTTTATGTAGAAGCATGATACTTATATGTAGAAAAATATGTATCCAGGCCACGTATTCATCTTAATGCTGGTATTTCCTAGGTTCTTATCTTCTAACATTGATTCTAGGATATCCTAGCGCAAAGATTGTTTCCAGAATATAGGTCAGATACTCTTGAAACCATCTTAATGCTAGGATGTCCTAGGTTCTTATTTTCTAACATTGATTCTAGGACATCCTAGCGCCAAGATCGTTCGCAGAATATAGGCCACATACTCTTGAAATGATCTTAACTCTATTTTGTCCTAGGTATTTTATCTTCTAACATTGATTCTAGGATATCCTAGCGCTAAGATTGTTTTGAGAATATAGGCCACGTATTCTTGAAATGATCTTAATGCTATTTTGTCCTAGGTTTTTATCTTCTAACATTGATTCTAGGACATCCTAGGGCTAAGTTTGTTTTGAGAATACGCGGCCTGGATGCTTTGTTTGAAACAAATGATATCTGCGCAGATTGGAAAATTATGCCATATATATAGGCATAGTAGTTTATTGTTTGAATCTTCATTTTAGTACAATGTACAATGGATATCAATTTACCTATAGTACCATAGCTCTATGATTTTGTGACAACTCGGATGTGAAATACATGTGTTATAATGGCAGAGGTAGGGCTAGAATGTAATGCAAATCGTTTTTTTCGTGAGATCACCATGACTTTTGGTATCTACACAAATCTTAATCGTTAACATGTCCAGAAAGACATTACCAGATATTAACAATACACAATAAAGTCAAGGTGGATGTAGGATGGTTTTCTTTTCTGTGTATAATTTCATAAGTATAATTTATGTGAATGTGGATTGAGGTGAAGGTTGTTTTGTCTTTCATTATGTACAAACATAGGGTGCGGTCTTGCTCTATGACAAACTTTTTATGCCTTCACTGCAATAAACACCAATGAAGTGATTTGATTGGATTGTAAACCAGTGAATACAGTCAATTAAAGCCCTCGACAAAAAGATCGTACACATTAAGTCTTAGTATTAACATACTTTATGTCAAGAATGCTGATTGGCTGTATTAACCCAACCAAATCGCTGAATTTACAAATTTCTGTGATACAAGTCAAGGTGTAAATGCCCTGAGAAGAGCATTTAAATCACTATAAATAACTTGCCAACAGTGTAGAAAGGTTTTGAAATTATTGTGTATCAAAATGACCTAATAACATTTCATACTCCAGTAAATATCTTTAATAATAAAATATTTTTGATGTTGAAATATTGCTCAATACAACAATTGTAGAGCGATATAGAAATACCACTGTTAAAATAGTGCTTAATACAACAATTGTAGAGAGATATAGAAATACCACTGTTAAAATAGTGCTCAATACATCAATTGTAGAGCGATATAGAAATAACACTGTTGAAATATTGCTCAGTACAACCATTGTAGAGCAATATAGAAATACCACTGTTAAAATAGTGCTCAATACAACAATTGTAGAGCGATATAGAAATACCACTGTTAAACTAGTGCTCAATACATCAATTGTAGAGAGATGTAGAAATAACACTGTTGAAATATTGCTCAGTACAACCATTGTAGAGCGATATAGAAATACCACTGTTAAAATAGTGCTCAATACAACAATTGTAGAGCGATATAGAAATACCACTGTTAAACTAGTGCTCAATACATCAATTGTAGAGAGATATAGAAATAACACTGTTGAAATATTGCTCAGTACAACCATTGTAGAGCGATATAGAAATACCACTGTTAAAATAGTGCTCAATACAACAATTGTAGAGCGATATAGAAATACCACTGTTAAAATAGTGCTCAATACAACTATTGGAGAGAGATATAGAAATAACACTGTTGAAATATTGCTCAGTACAACCATTGTAGAGCGATATAGAAATACCACTGTTAAAATAGTGCTCAATACAACCATTGTAGAGCGATATAGAAATACCACTGTTAAAATAGTGCTCAATACAACTATTGGAGAGAGATATAGAAATAACACTGTTGAAATATTGCTCAGTACAACCATTGTAGAGCGATATAGAAATACCACTGTTAAAATAGTGCTCAATACAACTATTGGAGAGAGATATAGAAATAACACTGTTGAAATATTGCTCAGTACAACCATTATACCACTGTTAAAATAGTGCTCAATACAACTATTGGAGAGAGATATAGAAATAACACTGTTGAAATATTGCTCAGTACAACCATTGTAGAGCGATATAGAAATACCACTGTTAAAATAGTGCTCAATACAACAATTGTAGAGCGATATAGAAATACCACTGTTAAAATAGTGCTCAATACATCAATTGTAGAGAGATATAGAAATAACACTGTTGAAATATTGCTCAGTACAACCATTGTAGAGCAATATAGAAATACCACAGTTGAAATAGTGCTCAATACATCAATTGTAGAGAGATATAGAAATACCACTGTTGAAATAGTGCTCAAAACATCAATTGTAGAGAGATATAGAAATACCACTGTTGAAATAGTGCTCAAAACATCAATTGTAGAGAGATATAGAAATACCACTGTTGAAATAGTGCTCAGTACAACAATTGTAAAGTGATATAGAAAAATCGAAAGTCAAAATTGCATAAACTTGGGTAATTCATTTGATTGCCAAACTGAAATTCAGAATTGCATAATTTTGGATAATTCATATGATTTTCAAAACCAATAAAATAATGCTAGCATTGAATCTAACATTTTTGAGATTTTTAGGAAAATGTATTAATATTAATTACTTGATAGTGTCATTTCAACATTTTATTTGCAATGTTAACAAAAAGCATTGTAATAAACAAGTTTTTACTGATATTTTCTAAATTAGGAATTTTCAAGTATTTCATATCATTTCATTTTTAATAAAATGCAGTGCATTAAAACTTAAGTTCTAGAATGTACAATCATGTAAAAGTGGTTGACCTATATACTAGATATATATATATATATATATATATATATATATATACTACATATGTAATATGGACTTGCTATAATGTTGTTGTATCAGTGTATCAGTGTTTACGTAACATAAAAACTATTTATGTTAAACTCGAGGATGACACAAACCTGAGGTTTCTAGGCTTGCTGGCAGGTTTTCAACATTTTTTACAATTGAATTATAAAAAGCTATGAAATAGACATGTCAATCTCTAGCTAGAGTAATATTAAATATTACTATTTTTTTAAGGCTATAAATAGTTTTATAATGACATTTTTATTATATTAAAAGTTCAGAGATTTCTGAAAATTGTTATAATTATGTTTTATTCAGTTTCTTTTGTTAATATGGTATCTCTAGAGGACTAAGTAAGATTTAATATTTGCACCGAAGGGTACTGGATTGATCTTGCCTTGTCTAGGTAATTCTGCAGATTTAAGACTGTTGAATGGCTGATGGTTATCATAGCAAGTTTTTGACGAAGTGAACAATCTGTCGCTTTCTCTCTACTCTCTTTAAATCTTTCTACATTGTATTTTTCGTTCTCTTTGCTTCTATTTTGTCAATTTTTCCCTAAAAGATTCCCTTGTCAAATGTTACTTTATAATAAACTGTTCAACTTCTCACTTTTCAAATATTGCCTCATTGATTCACTCATGTCAAAAGTTATTTATTGTGCCAAGAATACCTGGCAAGAGTTACATCATGATATATGTTATTAGCTTTTCAATTGTCAAATGTTTCCTAAAGGATTCTCGTGTCAAAAGTTTTTTTTTTTATTGAAGTACACTTCTCCCTTGTCAAGTGTTACTTCATAACAAACTGTTAACTTCTCACTTTTCATTTGTTACTTCATATAACATGCTGTTAGCTTCTCACTTATCAAAATAATGTTACTTCATAACAAACTGTTAACTTCTCCCTTGTCAAGTGTTACTTCTTAACATGCTGTTAACTTCTCACTTTTCATTTGTTACTTCATATAACATGCTGTTAACTTCTCACTTTATATAACATGCTGTTAACTTCTCACTTTTCATTTGTTACTTCATATAACATGCTGTTAATTTCTCACTTTATATAACATGCTGTTAGATTCTCACTTTGTGATTGTTACTTCATATAACATGCTGTAAGTTTCTCACTTATCAAGTGTGACTTCATATAACATGTTGTTAGCTTCTCACCTTT